CTCGGGGAGGTTCCCAGAGGGTCGGAAGAGAGGTCTGCTCTGATCTGGGGCCAGTTTGGTCAGGAAGGGGGCAGGGCTCAGGATTCTCACAGACCGGGAGCGGAGTTTCGTGTCCCAGGCTCGTAAAATAGGGAAGGGAAGAAGCTAGGATTTCCAAATTCTGGAAGCGTTACATAGGTTCTTAGCAGTAGGGAGCTTGGATTCCCAAGGGATGGAATTCTGAAGTGCGGAAATATACTCCTACGGGTTGATTGGGGTCCTTGGTTCCCGAGCTGTAAGCGGGACCTATGCTTCTAGGGTTTAGGACGAAATCTCAGCCCTTTGGGCTGGAAGCAACCCTGAGCCAACACTGGTCAGGCCGAAGGTTAGAGCCTCGTTCTGAGGTGGAGCCTGAGTTTTCCGTGATTGGACCTTTAAAGATTGGTGATGGGCTCAGGGTCATATTTCAGTTGGCCGGCTGGGATCCTGGGGGATGGGCTCTATATTCCAATGACTGGGCTCAGCCCTCGGTTCGTGCTCTGGGGTAGAGTCTACTCTGGGAACCAGCAGCCTCGGTTCCGGGTAGGGGTGGGGCCCGGAGTCTAAGCCTAGGCCCTCTTGGCCGGGGGCGGAGCCTGGGCTCGCTAAGGGCTGGGAGGGAACCTCATCCGGATTGAGGGCGGGCTCCCCGTAGGCCGATAGGGAGTCCGGGGTACTTCAGAGGCCCTTGCGCTGCCGCTTGAGGAAGGACAGAGTGTAGTCGCTAGGTGTAGACACCTTCTGCTTCTTCATCTGCACTTGAGACTGCGCCGTGAGCTGCAGCTTGATGGCGCTCGAGTTGATCTTAGTGGCCACAAGCAGCTCCTTCATGCCCTTCATCTTCTCGCTCTGGAAAGTGAGCACCGGACCCTCCGGTGGCGGCGATGCGGCGGGAGCTGGCGCCGGAGCCGAGCTGCCGCCTTCAGGGCCGCGGGGAGTGCCCGGGACCGTCCCTGGGGGCTTCCGAGGGGGTCCTGGCACCGCACTGGGAACTTTGTCCAGCGCTGGCTTCTTAGGCGGCGGTGGCTCCTCGGGCTTGGATTCCCGCCGCGGGCCCCGCCGCCGGCCTTCTCGGGCTTCCTCGCCCCATGGCTCCTCTGCCTCGGCTGCCTCCGCCTCGCGGCTCACTATCCGTACCTTCTGCCGCACCTGGGCCGAACACGGAGGGCATGCTGAGGAAAAGGCTGCAGGCCAGCGGCTAGAACCCTAGGACCCAGCCTGGGCCATCTTGTCATGGGGCCTCAGTCTCAGCTGCACCCAAAGGGGATGGGCAGATCCCCTTCAGGGCTACAAAGGTTCTGACTCCCCTGTAGCTGCTGTCACCACCTGTCCTCCCCAGCCACCCTGCACAGCTGCCCCTCACCTGTCCCTCAAAACGGCCTAGGGACTGCACGAGGAAGGTGGCCCAGCCCACGTGCAGCACAGGCGTGGGGCTGCCCTCTTCCCATTTGCAGATGCCATCGTAGAATCGCAGCAGATGGGCGAAGCACTCTGGGTCCTGGAGGGCAGAACCCTGGCTCTGGGTGCCCTGGGAAAGGGGGAAAGGGGGGCACAGTTCAGACCCCATTACTCACCCCTTATCAGAGGCACAGGCCAGACCTCTTACCAAGGCAAAGAGCCATGGGTCTGGAAGATGGGAGCACAGGTGGAGAGAATTCTTAGAACCTCTTTCCTTTTACAAAATCAATCCTTAGTCAGGACTTGGGGGAAGGGAGGAACCATCCCTGACCTCCACCTCACCCCCTCAACTGAATGAGGGACACTGACCATGAAAGAGATGGGCTTCCACCCCATTTACCTCAGGTCCCTCAAACCCAGGCCCAGGACATCGGCAACTACATAAAAGAACACAGCTCTCATGTTGGGCCACCTTCCTTGTGCAGTCCCCAGTCCTATGCAGCAGTGCCCCGTCCTGTGACTGGGGGCCCTGCTCAGGTGGGAAGGTGAACACCGGCTGGAGCTCCAGCCCTTCACCTGGCTCTGCTCCCCTGGCCGCTCCTCGCCAGCCTCCAGCAGGCTGGCTGCTTCCTTCAGCAGGTTGGGGATGACATCATTGGCTACTTCAAAGAACTCCTTGTAGATCTCCTCGTCTTCACGGCAGTAGTTGTAGCTGTGAGAGCAGTAGGGCACTGTGGGGTCTCAGTCATGGCGGGTACCCCCAGGGACCTGGTAGGGGTAGAGCCCTGGTTTCTTTTCCGGGGTCATCCAGGGACCAGGTGAATGGCTGGGGTCCTCACTCCAAAATGATGGTATCTGTGTCAGCCCAGAGCAAGAATGAGGAGAGGGGCAAAGGGCTGGGGATGCGGGTTCCACAGCTGGACGATGATGGCTGGAAATTAGGAGAGGGGAGGGAGGGAAGGAAAGGTGTGAGGCCCTCATTAGGGGTCCCTATCTCTGGTGATGGTGGCCTTGGCTGTCTAGTGACTGGATGGACAGGGCATAGAGCTTGGGACCCAGGCCTTACTCCTGTAGGAGGGTGGTTGGAAATTGGGTGGAAAGGGAAGAAGGCTGGGCTGAGGCCCTGTAGGGGGATCCTCACTCCTGGATGACAGTGGCCGTGTCAGCCCAGGCCTGCAGGGCTTCGCGCACATTGCGGTTCCGACAATGGTAGCCAGCCAGGTACATGTAAGGGTAGATGTGCTCATCCCGGTAGTAGGTCTTGGCTGAGGCAATGCCCTGGGGATAAAGCAGATGGGCCTTAGGGAGGCAGCCCCCAGCTACCCCAAATGGCACAAATGTTCCACTGGATCACGCCCAGGAGGGGCAACAGGCAGATCCCAGGGAGTCTTATCTCCAAAGTGACCTCACCCACCCCATCCTCTCTACCAGGTGCTCCTCCCGGGGTTTGCAGGTCTGCTTGCTGACACCTGGGCCAGACTGCAGCAGGCACCCCACAGAACAAGACCTAGGAAGAGGAGGGGTCATCCTTCGAACTCAGGGTCCCACCCCTTTACCGGCTTTCCCATACACTGCCACACAAACACTAAGGCCCTCCAAGCCCAGCCCAACGTCCACCCTAACCCCCAGCCCCACCAAGTTAACACCCCCTCCTCAGTGCTCTCACCACATTTGATCTCTACTATATTCCAGGAAATATAATGACAAGCAGTAGAAAAGGTAGGGCTAAGGAGACAAACCCAGAAGAGGGAACCCAGAACACCCCTTAGATAACCCTGACTGCACTGAATATGCACATGGTAAATACAAAATGGGGATTGCATAGACAACACCCCCCCAACACACATAAAGTTCTCTCCTCACCTGCCCCCACCCAGACCCCAGGTAGAAGGGGACCCAAGCCATTGTTGGGCCTCCCTTCTATACCCTCCTGAGATGTCCCCACCTTGTGGTAGAGGGTGAGTGGGTCTGGCCGGCCAGGGGTGGGCTCCAGCTCCTCTAGATCTGCCAGGTTCCCCAGCGCCATAGGGTACCTGGGAAAGGCTCATGAGTCCTGGCTGCCCCCAAGCACACACCTTGAGGCCCAGCCTGGCCATTTCCCCATACTCACCTTTCCAGATGTCCCAGGTCATAGAGCAGCCAGAGCAGCTTCTAGGGGCCAAAGGAGAGAAGAGTGAGCTGGGGGGATGAAGAAGGGTTCTCAGTCTACAAAGCAGAGGGGTTGGTCCAGGACCAGAAGGGGTCTCCCACTGGGTGGGAAAAGCCAGAATTCGGGAACTAGCCCCGTAGAGGAGTCAAAGCCCTTTCATGTCTCAATTCCTCCTCCCAAGAGCCCTGGGAAAATCCAGGCCAGGAATGATTCACCCAGTTACAGAAGAGGAAGCTGAAGCTCAGGAAGGGAAAGTGCCCTGGCGTGCAGGGTCCCACAGGCACCCCTCACCTGCTGCAGCTGCAGCAGCTCCAGGGAGTCGGTGTGCAGGTCAATGGAAGGGTTGATAGCGCACACCATAAATGCCACCTCCATCTTGCGGTCACAGCGCATGTATGATCCTTTCAGGTACAGCCAGCTCTTGGGAGAGGACAAGACCAGATGTCACATGATGGCCCGCCTGTGCCTGCTCTAGGGAATGGCAGTCAGGAAAGGGGCCCTCCCCCTCCTGACATATGTAGGTGGCGATAGGAAGAGGGGAGTGTGGCCCAAGAAAGTAGAGCTCCTTGGGTGGCTTGGGCTAGGAGAGTGGGAAGGGGACAAGGTGGTGGGGGGGAATACCCGCTCAGCCACACCCGCGTTGACCGTCTGGCCCCTGCGATCCTCGTTGCCCTTGCCATGCCAAGTGACCTCAGCTGTCTGCTCTCCATTGGGCCCAAATACTACCCAGGCGTGGTCTTCAGATAAGGCCAAGTGGACATCCCGGAGACCCAGAGCCTGGCAGGCCCCCACCACGGCAAAGGCCACACCAGAGCTGTCTAGTTTGGTGCCTGTGGAAGGGGAAGTAAAGAGAGAGGGCTCTCTGAGCTCTGGCCTGGAGGAAGGGGCCAGGTAGTAATGGGCCATGCTCTCTCCCGCCCTCATTTCCAAGCCTGTGCCCAAACCTCAGGTGCTCCTGCCCCTCATCCCTCTATCCCTTTCCACCTATGTGTTCAGAGCCTCTCCCTCCCCCTTCACATTCCCCATCCCCAACAGGAATTGGACTTTCATAGCTCCACTTAGCTTTTGACCCTCTCTTTCTCTGCAATTGCATTATGTATTTCTGCTAATTTAAGGATTTCCTCATTTTTTTGCACCTATTAGGTCATAACAGGGATGGCAAAAACAGGACACTCTGGCCAACACTTTTTACACACCCACTGGCAGGCACTCCTAATTTATCTCTGTACTCTTTTCCTGCTAAGTTCAGAAGCAGCCTCAGATTCCAAGACCTGATGGCTAGTCAACTGGGCTTGGAACAAAGAGAAAAGCTTGTTGCAAGCCCTGAGCCTTAAGCTTCTTGAGGTGAAGCCCTGGTCTGTTCACTTACAAAACATGTTCATAGATATTTCATTTAATTGTCTCAAATGTAGCCCAATTTTGGCTCCTTACTCCCCAAATCTGCAGCTGCACCTTTGTGCCTCAGGCTGGGCTGCAGGACTCCTGTAGCTGTTCAATGGCAAGGAGGAGGGTGCTAAGGGTGGGCTAATGGATTTGGAGTCAAGTGATTGGGGTCCAGAACCAGCCCTGCCATTCTGTGTGACTTTGGCAGATCACTTCCCCTCTCTGGGCTTCAGTTTCCCTAGCTGCAGAGGGGCACATAACACTTGCCCCACCTCACAAGGCTTACAGGTCTCAAAAGGGCTCTGTAAACCATACATTGCTGCGAAGAGGTGGGCCAAGGTTATCAGGTGTGACAGGATTCTCGCCCCTTGCCACCTGTCGGGCTCCAACCTGTGATGAAGCTGAAGAGGGACTGGATGTGGGCCCGATCCTTGAAGTAGGAGCGGCTGAGACTGTTCCAAATGACATCGGAGACCTTCTTCACCAGCTCGCGGCTGGAGACGCCCCCTTCTCGCGGGTAGAGAGAGAGGTCGACCGCGCCGCGGATCTGGGCGGTGAAACGGGCATAGAGCGCGGCGATGATGGAGAGGTCGGCTACAGGGAAGTAAGTGAGGCCGCCAGGAGGGTCAGGCGCAGGGCTGGGCTGGAAAGTGAGCTCAGGCACGTTGGTGGGGATGACGCGGTTGACAGCTAGGAAGTGCTCCACGAAGCCCAGTACCAAGGATAGGAGTACCAGGTCCGGCTCCTCTCGGCCCAGCTCAGCAGCGAACAGGCGCACCACGTCGTCGATGGAGCGCAGCGGGAACAGCGTCTTCTGGGCGGCCTTCAGCCCCATGGCGGCGGGCCTCGGCCTGCGGGCGAGCAGTGGGAGGGAGGGTCGGGTGGGCACGGCAGAGGAGCCCCCTCCTTAGGCTCGGCTAGCGTTCCACACCCCCTCCACACACATACAAACACAAACCCTTGCTTCCCCGCCCCCTTCACGCTCCGCTCATCTGTTCCCCTTCTTTCGTCGAAGAGACCCCCTCAGCCGAGGCCTTAGGGCCTCCTTGTCCCGCACAACCCCAGGAGCCCCGGCCCCGACAGGGGTGCGCCCCTAGGACCCCGAGGAGGACCCCCAATGGCCGCCCTGCCCCCTTTCTGCGACCGTACCCCCGGGGCCCTAGAGTCTGTCTGGAAGGCGCCCCTAGGCCAAGCCCCCCAAATCCCAAGGAGAGTCCTGGCCTCGGTCCCCCGCGCCCACCTCCGCGCTTACATCCCACACAAGGCACCGCGGCGCCCGCCGCCTGGAGCCTGCTGGGAAATGCAGTTCCGCCCCCTCGGGCCGCATTGCCTGCCGGGAAGTAGAGTCCGGGGCCCTCTCCTGCCCTTGCCAAGTCTTGAAATGGTGGCCGGGCCGGCCGGGCCGCAGTGGCTTATGGGAGTGGTAGTCCCGCTGCTCTGGAAGCCGCGGAGGTAGGTGAGGAATGGAGGGAGCGCCACCTTCCTGAGGTCCTCAGGGATTCCATTTCACGCAGACCAGGTAGGCATAGGAACAGCAGTGCATCCTGGGAGATGTAGGCCCGGGAGGGAGCTGGCATCCTCTGGCCGTCAGTTTTGTTAAGTTATCAAGTGTAGGCAAGATGTGAGGAAAACAGGTACTTTCAAATACTGCTGGAGTACTGTAAATGTGTTCAACCACTTTCGTTGGATATTTCTCAGTATCTAGTAACAGGTAAATGTACCTACGCTATGGCTAGCACTCTGTCCATGAGAAAATCTAACATATATGCAAAGAGGAACATGTAAAGAACCATTGTAATTATTTGTAATAGAGTAAAAGAAGAGCAGGGTAGCTCTATGCATCCTAAAATGGATCTTCAAGGTATATTGTTGAAGGAAAAAAGCTGCAAAACAGTATGTATAATAGAGTAGTATTTACATTAACATTTTAAAACTTCAAAACAATACTAAATAATTTCTACAGAATCATTCATTCACTTATTCATTTAACAAACAGATTTTTGGAGCCTACAATGGGCCAACCACTCAGTCGCAGGCACTGGGTATATAGCAGTGAATAAAATTGATCAAATTCCTTCCCTACCTCACCTCTGTGGGGTTTTTCCCCCAAATCCATTGGTCTAGTCTAATCATGAGAAAAATCCGGCAAACCCGAACTGAGGGACATTCAGTCTGGTCATACTTAGTTCTCCTCAAAAGTGTCAAGGTCATGGTGGGGGAGGGTATAGCTCAGTGGTAGAGCACGTGCATGCATGAGATCCTGGGTTCAATCCCTAGTACCTCAAGTAAAAAATAAAATAAATAAATAAACCTAATTACCTCTCTACCCACCCCCCCACACACACAAAAGTGAAAAAATAAGTGTCAAGATCATGAAAGGCAAGGAGAGACTGAGGAACTGTTCCAGATTAGAAGACACTAAGGAGACAGGACCACTAAATGCAATGTGGTGTTCTGGATTGAATCCTGGACCAGACAAAAGGACATTAGTGGAAAAACTGGGGAATAAAGTGGTTGACTGTCCAGCTTTCCCAGGACTGAGGGGACTTCAGAGGAATAGAACTTTCATTTTTAAAACTAAGCTAGTTAAGTCTTGGGAGCCCTACTTATGAAATTCAAATAAAATCTGTAGCTTTGTTCATAGTTTTCATCAATAAGTTTTTATAAACATACCATATTGTATGTTTTATGAGGGGGAGGTATTAGGTTTATTCATTGATTTATGTTTGGAAAAGGTACTGGGGATTGAATCCAGGACCTCGTGCATCCACCACTTGAGCTCTACCATCCCCCTAAACATACTATATTGTATAAGATGTTAACGTCTAGGGCAGCTGAGTGAGGGATATATGGAGAGGGGATCACCAAGGACTGAGTTCCGGGGGACCAGCAGGAACCAGCAAAGGATTCTGAGAGGGACAGGCCAGAGAGATGGGAAGAGAACCAGAGGGGTTTCTGGTTTAGAAGACCAAGGCAGAGGCGTGATCGACAGGGTTGGGTGCTGCCCACAGGTCAGCAAGCTGAGCACCAAGGACTGACTGCAGTTTGCTCTGTGAGAACCCATGGTGACCACATTAGGAGCATTTGGGGAGAAAAAGCCCCAAGTTCTTGGGCTCAAGAAAAATGAGAAGAAAGAAATTGAAGAGACTGATAATACACAACTCTTTCAGGGAGCTTTACAGCAAAGGGAAGGAGAAAAATAAGATGGCAGCTGCAGGGAGAAGAGGGTTAAAGGAGGTCGTGTTGTGGCTGTTGTTTAATAGGAGCCAAAGGAGGACTCATGACCTTGAACCGATTATCTTGAGCAGGTGGAGAGAATGGGACTTACCAAATGGCAGGCTTGTCTTTTGCTAGGAGCATAAACAGTCCAGCCACAATAATTGGAGAGAAGGCAGAGTACATGGGCACGTGTGGTGGATACTTTAATTTTCTCAATGAAATAGCAAGCCCAGTTGGTCTCCCCGCCAAATGCTGCCTTCTCAGTGAGACTTACCCAGGCCTGGCCAGCCTATTTAAAATCACACTCTCCAACCCAAATTCCTCTTTCAATCCCTCCATCCCACTCTACTTTTTTTTCCCTAAAGCATTAACACCTTCTAGAACAGGTTTTCTCAACCTAGGTACTATTGACATTTGGGGCTGGATAATCCTTTTTTTTAAATTAAAATATGGTCAGTTTACAATGTTGTGTCAATGTCTGATGTACAGCATAATGTTTCAGTCATACATATACATACATATATTTGTTTTCATATTTTTCATTATAGGTTACTACAAGGTATAAACTTGTTGTTTACCTGGATAATCCTTTGTAGTCTGGGGCTGACCTGTGCCCTGTAGGATGTTTAGCAGCCTCCCTGGCTTCTACCTCTTCTAGATGTCCCTCCCCCTGTTGTGACAATAGAAATGTCTCCAGACCCTGCCAAATGTCCCCTGGGAGGAGGAGCAAAATTGCTCCCAGTTGAGAACCACTATTCTAACATCTAATATAATTTACTTCTTTGTTTTTTATTTTCTCCCACCACCAAAATACAAGCTCCACAAGGTCAGGGAATGTGTCTGCTTTGTTCTCTGAGGTGTTCCATGTGTCTAGAGTAGCGTCCTGCACAGAACTGATGTTCAACCAGTATTTGCTGAATGAATGAATACATTCATACAAAGGGGTGATTATGGCAATTGAGGTGGAATTTAGGCTGTGTGAGGAGGGACGTAAGGAAACAAAAGGGATGAGGGACAGCAGAAGGGTGGCAAAATCAATGGATTGTAGATTCCAATGGGGTCAAAAGTTTATTGGAGTTGGGGTGCTAGAGAGACCTGGAAAGGTAGGGGTGTTGGTTAGAGAGTAGGATGCTTGGGGTTGAGATTATGGGGAGGGGGTTGTCGCCATCATTCACAATAAAAAGATCTAAAGAGATAAATTAGGAGTTCCAGATTTGCAAATATTAACTACTATATATAAAATAGATTTTTCAAAAAGTTTCTTCTGTATAGCACAGGGACCTATATTCAATCTCTTGTAGTAACCTATAATGAAAAAATATGAAAAGGAGTATGTATGTATATGTATGACTGAAACATTATGCCTTACACCAAAAATGAACACATTGTACTTCAATTAAAAAAAAATAAAAAATTCTAGAGCAGTGCTTCCAGTAGAAACATGAGCTGCATATGTAATTTTAAAATTCCTAGTAGCTGCATTAAAAAAGTAAAAGATAACAAGTGAGAGTAATTTTAATAATATATGTATCCAAAATATTATTTCATCTTGCAATCAAGATAAAAATTAATAATGATCATTTATATTTTTCTCCACACTAAGTCTTTGAAATCTGGTGTGTATTTTATACTCATAGCTTATCTCAATTCAGACAAGTCACAGGACCTCGTTGTGCAACAGTAGTGTATCTGACTCCAGACAAGTCACATTTCAGGTGCTCAGTGGCTGCATGTGACCAGGAGCTCCCATATAGGACAGTGTGGCTGGCTCTCCAGTATGGCTATGGAGTGAGTGGCTGGGGTGAGATGGAAGACAAGGTCATGGGAGAAGATGGGCTGAAGGAACTGAGAGACCTGGCAGTTGGATCATCCACATGTATAGCAAAGTCTCTAAGAATTAAAATAGGAGTAGGATGGAGACAGTGACAGCAAGCCAGGAGCTAGAATTATCAAGGAATGAGCCATGCATGGGTTGGGAGATGTCTGAAACAGAGTGGGTGGTGTAAGCTGATAACTTGAGTTCGAAACTGAGTACTTGAAAGGAGGAGAGAGGAGGACATCTATCAGTGGCCCAAGGATCAAGGAGGACGCCTCCCGTACCTCCTGGCCCAGTGGCAGGAGGAATGTGAGTCCGTGTGTCAGGAGGCAGGGAGCAGAAGTGGCCCCAGGGAGGGCAAAGTTTCTGCTAGAGCAGGAGGGTTAAGGACTCTTTGCAGAAGGGGGCAAGGACATGGGGGCTTTTGCTGAAGATGGACCATCAACTCTTGAGCATGTGGTAGACAGCTATCAGGAGCTGAGAGTGGAGGTGGAATCCAAAAAAGGGATGGTCAGAGCTATGGAGAACCCAGGAGCTGGAGCCCCTGTGGGGAAACTGAGCAACAGGGACAAAGAGCAGGGCAGTTCTGATGGTCTTGAGGCAAGGGTAGGATGGTGGTCCAGCTGTGAGTGTGAGAGCATGGAGAGCAGAGCTTCCCGCCAAGGGTAGGAGGAGTCTTGAGACTCTGACTTGATTTCTGCTGATGGAGGCAAAGAGGCTGGTGGAGAGTGGTCCCTATTGATGCCTGGGAATAATACTTATGGGCATATATGGAACACATTGACATAAATTAACTTTAATAATAATAGTAACTTCTGGTGGTTCCTTATTCTTAAGAGACGCCTGCAAAGTACTTAGGTGCGAAGTTCAAGTTGTCTGTGACTTACTCTCAAGTGGTAGCAAAACACATGCTCTATATCCACCTTTATGTGGATAAAGAGGGAAAGCAAAAGCAGCAAAATGTTAACAATTGGCGAATCTAGGTGAAGAGTGTAGGGAGTTCATATTCTCTCAATCTTTCTGTAGTTGTGAAACTTGTCAACATAAAACTTTGGGAGAAAAAAAATTTTTTTTATTTTATTTATTTATTTATTTATTTCTAGTTGGTTTTTGTTGTTGTTGTTGCTGTTGTTTGTTTGCTTTTTCAGGGGGTAGGTAATTAGGTTTATTTATTTATT